ATTTGTAAAGTTTTCATGTCAAACATTCATGATATCGATATGGCCATGCTCTTTTACTATAATACTATAGGCCATACTATAATGGTATTGCGTGTAATGCATGGCAAAGATATGTATTGTATTTATGATGGCGATGGAAGTTATGATTGAACTATACCGATATAAAATATGTTTGAAGTATATCAGAAGAGGAGAGTGAGGGGATGTAAGCTAGAAGAATGAAGTTTGGGAACAAAGGAGATACATTTAGCTGTTATCAAATTACACATTTTGTCTTTATAATGTTTTCCTGATTGTGACACTGTTCAACATTGATCTGCGGCACTTTTTGCTTAATCTAAATGTATATCTAATGTGTTTGTAATATTTTAGATGCAACATGCACAACATGTTATATGTAACCACTAGTTATTGTGTGATTCCTTATTTCTAATGTTTCTGGTAATAAAATCTTAATTTCCCTTGTATTTTGAGTTACATTTTCTGCCGTAACAATAAAACCACTCGGGCCTTGGATGCATGTAACACTTCTTCTTAAAGGATCAACGCTGCACATTATCATGAGGGTCATATTAATTACGTTCATTAATATACTAATCCCTATATCAAATTAAAGAGTATTGAGAAATATGCTCGATAACCGCAGAGGTAAGAGACTCACTCGGGTATAAGAGCGAAAACTAACATACACTCTGAGAGACACCCGACCGTAAGAGAGGTGTCAATTGTAGATGAACAAGTTCAAGACAACCAACAGACAAAAGAACCATCTCGTTACTGTCAGAGGCCAGTCGAAGACCTAGAAGTGCAGTGATTGAGAGAAAGACAGGGGTCAATTTTAGATGAACAAGTACAAGACAACCAACAGACAAAAGAACCATCTCGTTCATGTCAGAGGCCAGTCGAAGACCTAGCAGTGCAGTGATTGAGAGAAAGACAGGTGTCAATTGTAGATGAACAAGTACAAGACAACCAACAGACAAAAGAACCATCTCGTTACTGTAAGAGGCCAGTCGAAGACCTAGAAGTGCAGTGATTGAGAGAAAGACAGGTGTCAATTGTAGATGAACAAGTACAAGACAACCAACAGACAAAAGAACCATCTCGTTACTGTCAGAGGCCAGTCGAAGACCTAGAAGTGCAGTGATTGAGAGAAAGACAGGGGTCAATTTTAGATGAACAAGTACAAGACAACCAACAGACAAAAGAACCATCTCGTTCATGTCAGAGGCCAGTCGAAGACCTAGCAGTGCAGTGATTGAGAGAAAGACAGGTGTCAATTGTAGATGAACAAGTACAAGACAACCAACAGACAAAAGAACCATCTCGTTACTGTAAGAGGCCAGTCGAAGACCTAGAAGTGCAGTGATTGAGAGAAAGACAGGTGTCAATTGTAGATGAACAAGTACAAGACAACCAACAGTCAAAAGAACCATCTCGTTACTGTCAGAGGCCAGTCGAAGACCTAGAAGTGCAGTGATTGAGAGAAAGACAGGTGTCAATTGTAGATGAACAAGTACAAGACAACCAACAGACAAAAGAACCATCTCGTTACTGTCAGAGGCCAGTCGAAGACCTAGAAGTGCAGTGATTGAGAGAAAGACAGGTGTCAATTGTAGATTAACAAATACAGGACAACCAGCAGGCTGTCCAGAGCTCCCTGGAGGTGGATGATTGATTCCACCTGTATCTGTCCCTTGATCACGGATAGATACATTGGCATGTTGGGGATGCAATATCATCCTCTGTCCTACGAGTTCAGGTAGTTGTGGAAGGGCCAGCCATCCTGAGTGGAATGTGTGTTCATAGTTATTGCCATGGGAAATGTTGATGTTCCGTTATTGTATGTGTTAATAAGGAATCGCAGGAGACAGAAGAGTGGCAGCTAATGTTTATTTTTACACCAGTTCATTCAAAACCTTAATTCATATGAATAATCACAGTGATAATCTTGGGTAAGTGGGCACAATGATTTCTGAAAAAAGAAAGGTCCACATTAAGTTAGTATGGAACACACAAATTCTAAACACACATCCATAAAAAAATATTTCCCTGCGATCAGACAATGTTTTCTAAACAATTTATTTATTGATGCACTTATTCTGATTGTCCATTGTACTTCATTCACAATCCTTATTAAAGACGAGAAGATACGTCTATTGTCAAGACCGGGTGGTATATCACATGAAGTATACAGTATGTCGCGTGAGGTTTGCGACTGGGTTTTCGACCCTGGGTAGAGGCTCGCATGACCCTCCCCTGTTTCCACTTCATCATTCACTGATTGGATTTTTGGCCGTTGCCTTTTAGGGGGATGCTGGAGTCGCATATTACGTCATGCAGTAGCCGTTTAAAGTGAAGGTTAAGACTGGCCACTGCACTAGATGCATAGGGGTTGTGGACGAGGTACTAAGTGGTCTGGTCTTATAAGCATATTAGGAATTTGTTCAGGAAGCTTAGGGTGTTTATACATATACATTTAAGCCCGCCAGAGTTGGCAGATGGAGTTGAGATGTTGAGAGCTGAACTTCTTCTTGTGACGAATAAATGTTGTGGACCTTTATGCGGACTTGTGTTGTTGCCATCGAAGTGTCCTGTAGAATACCAACTACTACTCCCGACATGTTCTTGTGTGTTTCAACAAAGAGGTACACATTATCACATAACTGCATCTTTTTTAGCTTTCCTCACAAAGTAAGATGACACGCAATGATGTAACTGAAATACTGTTACAAATAGTGTTAAACCCAACTCAATCGAGTTCTGTCATAAAATAGGGGGCACAAGTGGCCCAGTCGTCTATGGCGCCGCAATTCGCTGTGCAGAGCTGCGTCCCTTGGGCACGCCAGAAACCTATGATTGTGTGTACGAATCCCGGTTCGCCCCGATAACGTTTCTAGGTTTGTCAGCACCATACCCGTGCTCGTGGGTTTCACCAAAGTGGTAAACGTCTGAGACTTGCATCACTTCAGGCTTTCCTCCCACATTAAGCTGACACACCGTGACGTAACTGGAATACTGTTAAAAGCGGAGTTAAACCAAACTCACTCATTCAAGCACTCACTCTGTGATAAAACGCATATAAAAGAAAGTGTTTTAATACTCCATCATCACACTGTATAAGTCCTTTTGTTTTGTTCTCAGTAAGGACATATCTAGCGAATAGACTCCCTTGAGTGGACCAGAATCCGATTTATCGATATGCGTCTGACTGATATTCATCAGAAAACCTTGACTGCAATTTCTGCTGATGAGGCGAGTTTTGCCTCATAAGGTAATGACGTCATTCCTGATTGTCATCTGTTTGAGTTCACGTTAGTAGATGGAATTTACGCTGTCCATAAAATGCACGGGAAGTTTTTCAACATCTTGTATCAGGCCTCAAGAACACTCGAAACAAAACATGTTTTACAATATAAACAATGGACAAGAATTAAGGGAATTAAGTTAATTAATGTATCTGACCGTTTTTGGTCATTAGCGGAGATTATTCAACCGATGTCCATTTTTCCTCAAGGACTAATTTCCTGATTTTCGCAGTGTATACAAAAGACGAATTGTACTCCGGACATCGTAAATAACAGCATAATATCAACTATGTTCTGAATATGCTTATTCATGAACAAGGACAACATCTTAAATTATATGTAATACGGCTGAATTCCACATTCTACATACCACACTTTTGATTGTTTGAATGCTCATGTTCACTGGAAATATTTGGAATAGTTACATTTCGTATTTTGAATTAACCCAGTCCTCCGTGTTTTTTTAATCAGTGCACCGGACATAGCCACATGTGAAACGTTTGGCAGCAAAGTCAAAGCAAAATAGTAGTATTTTTCAACCGTTTAATTGAATTAAATGTACTGTAGCTCTGGTCGCTATCATACATTTTGTGTCCCAGGGCTCAAATCTATTTGCGTTTGTTCCACTGACCTCGATAATCTGCTGCATGAAGGCACAGCTCTCTTGGTCACATGGTTAACACAGAAGGCTATGAGGGGTATTTAGGTCATAAACAGTTCCCAGCAGCCACTGTCTCAAGCGATATTGTCTCCATAACAGATCAGTTTTATTGCCGCGTCATTGGTGCTCTAAATATTGAAGCAGGAGAAACAGTTATCCTCGAATCATTTCAACAAGCAATATTGATATCCCAGTCACTTTTGGTAACTTTTAATGATGTCTCCATTGCAATTTTACAGATTTTGATTCGTATGCATTATTTGGCTCTTATATGCGGAATGGTTTGGGTCAGATTGATCAAAGACCTCATCTAGTATGACGTTTTTACCATATGGTGCCCATAGTATTTTCATTTACATTATTTTAACCAAATGCCTCATTTTGCCAAGTGTTAAAAGAATGTGATTTATTATTTGAGAATGTCCATCTGTTGGATGTTTTGATACTATTTCCACATGTTTACATTTGTGCCAGAAATTGCTTCCATCTACTGTTTTAATAAAGACCCAGGTTAGAATAGGTCTTCAGCAACCCATGCTTGCCGTAAGAGGTGACGAACAGGATTGGGTACTTAGGCTAGCTGATTTGGTTGATGCATGACATCATATTCAAATTGCGTAGTTCGATGCTCTTGATGTCAATCACTGGATTGTCTGGTCCAGACTCGATTATTTACGGTCCACCGTCAAATAGCGGGAATAATGCAGACTTCGCGTTAAACAAGAAAACTGTTTTTATATTGACCTACTCTATGCAAATGTATCAACTGTATTGCCCAATACTCATAATAATTTTTTTTAAATTTCCACAACAGCGTTGTCTTATTTGTAGTTAGTATAATAATTCTCCTTCATGCCCTTTCAGTAACGTTATAATTATGCGTTTGTGAGGCATCACACATGACGGGGAACTTTGATGATCTGCATCAAGGTTTTCTTGTTTACTTTGTCCTACCCTTATCACACGTATGTGTAACGGATTACCTGACTGCTGCCACATGCTGCTTTCACATGCAGATTACAGCCTTGACAAGAACATAAAAGCCCATGCTGGTGAACAGAAGTATTCTAATTACACTGCGGAATGTTACTACTGATTCTGTGCACCTTGTTGCTGTGGAAGGAGGCCTCCTCTGACACAACCGTCACAATCTACAACGAGTGGCTCGCCCAAGGTGGACGGGTCCATTATGAACCTGAGAGATGGAACAAGATTAATGGGCTCACTCAAACGAACCTAATTCCTAAATGTAAATCTATCGGAACGGCTCCCGGGCGTTGGGTGAACAGAGACCTGAGGGATGCTCTCTTTGCAAATGTAAGTATGACGTAAAAATCACCTTCCGTGCAAAAACTGATTTAATGATATGATATGATTCATGTATGATTTCAAAGTCTCAGTATGCCTTCTGAATCTATGTTTTGATGGGTATATTGTAAGGAGCTGTATTCCTACCTACTTTACAAAGGGGGTGAGACAGTGAGAGTGTGTGTATCCATATACAGATCAATGCCAATATTTCAACTATTGATTTGTCTGGTATAGATTAAACTATTGAGTGTGTCCATTTTGTGCAAATGTTTGTTGGATCCAATCTCATGTGCATATAGACATGTGTTCGTATTCAGTAAACTACACGCTGCCTTTTACCAGCAGTCAATCCCTGGATTGCCTGGTCCAGACTCGATTATTTACAGACCGCCGTCATATAGCTGGAATATTGCTGTGTGCGGCGTAAAACAACAAGCCAAACAGCAAAATCTTACCAGCAAAGTGGTTTTAAATCCCAGAGTCGCGTCCTTTAGCCCAAATCGACATCAACCACGACCCTTGATCTGTACAGTCTGTACTTGTGTATATTAGGGCATAACATCTCAGATAAGGCATGTATCACTGCACGAATACATTGTATCGATTCAAAGTAAACCCATGAAGGCGAAGTGTGGTACGTAAACAGTTTACATAATCATTTGAGGGAGTACAAAGAGAAAATGTTTAAACTAGATGTTCAAAGTTGCTTTGAATAAAACTCTATAGTTATCACGTGACGAATGATAAAGTGTGTAGGTTAAACATATAGTATATTTCACGCTGGCCATTTGAGAGAAACGCTATGCAAGCATTACACTTAAACAACAATGATGAAACACGGGACAATGGGCTAGGTGTTGACACATATTCTTACACATATTCATACATCAATGTATTTTTTTTTTTAAAAGACATAAATAACTAGTTGTTATGTTATATGTCTAAAAAATTTGCGGTTCAGAAAAGACGTTCAGCTTCCTAAATGTATTACTATATGATAACCTTATGATAACCTAATTCTTACTCTCATATATGAACACTCTTTCAAAACAATGCTGTCCTGGAAACATTCATATTCAATTAATCCCAAAATGGAAGTAATGTAGATATGAAGATATATTCCTCCATACAAAAAAATGGCAAATCCATGCATATTATTTTTTTTCAGTGGCCCCAAAGCCCTAGTCACCCTGGTTACCCCGACCCCACCTATCTCCAGAACCATACATTCCAGTCAAAGACATGGGCGTCCTATATGCTACAACTGGATGGCTATGGGAGCGGCATCGACAACATGGTCTGGAACATACAAGGTCTGGTTTCTTCTGGCATTATTTTAACTGACAGACAATGTCAAGTTCGTGTTGGACGAATCCTGTCTGATCATTATAATCAGGATCAGGGGGTTCCACAAGGCAGTATTTTGTTTGTTACCTTGTTCAGTATAAACATAAATAGTCTATCACAAGTATTAAATGATTTAATCGATAGGTCATTGTTTGTGTAAGATTTTAATATCTCATGTCGTGGTAAAAACATGCGTGTTATTGCACGCCAATTACAGTTGTGTCTGAATATATTTCATAAATGATATCTTGAGAATGGCTTTTCGTTTTCACAGACCAAGACGAATTGTATACATTTCTGTCGGAAATATAAACCACATAAAGACCCCAAACTCTTTTTAGAGGCCACTCCAATCAAGATTGTAAAAGAAGCCAATTTTGTAGGATAAATGTTCGACCATCAGTTAACTTTTTTGCCACATATTAAATACTTTAAGACAAAATGCCTGAAGGCCCTAGATCTGTTGAAAATGGGGAGGGAGATAACCCTTCTTCACTTATGTAGATCCTTAATTCGCTCTAAACTGGACTATGGCCCCATTGTGTATGGACCCGTGAAGATCCGGGGTCAAATAGATCTTCAGCAACCCATGCTTGCCGTAAAAGGCGACTATGCTTGTCGTAAAAGGTGACTAACGGGATCGGGTGGTCAGGCTGGCTGACTTGGTTGATGCATGTCATCGATCCCAATTGCGTGGATCGATGCTCATGATATTAATCACTGGATTGCCTGGTCCAGATTCGATTATTTACAGACTGCCGTCATATAGCTTGAATACAAATCAACAAAACCAACCAACTATTGTGAATGCTGGGGCTTGTAAGAGTAATTTCGTAAAAAATGGATTCAACCATCAAGGACTAAAACTATGCCTTGGTGCTTTTCGAAAGTCCCCGGTTGTCGAGGCTGATGAATTCTCCCTAAAACAACGCTGTCTGACTTATCCTTGCAATACATCACCAAATTATATTCGAATTAGTCCAATCCAGCTTTATTTTCGTCTTTAATCCTCTTTATGAAGATACTTACAATATCTCCTGTTCAACCACACGTAATCAGAATCCAGTCTGCCCTATCTGCTTCTAACATTAAACTGCAAGATATAGATCCCTCTCAACTGTTTTCATCGACTCCTTGGCAAATGCTAAAGCCAAAGGTAGACCTAATATTATCCAAATTAAAGACATCTGATACCAATAAACTAATTTACCAACAAGAATACAATCAGTTAAGAAACACTTTTGACACTTATAAATCCATCTTTACAGATGGATCCAAGGATGGTGGCGCTGTTGGTGACCCAGAATAATATCTTCACGATTGCAAGATAACAGTTCCATTTTCACCGTAGAGGCAAACGCCTTTTTAGCAGCATTAAAATATATCAAAAACAGTTCATTATTTTTTTCAGATTCGCTATCGTGCCTTCAGGTGATTAAAATAAAATTAAACATCCACTTTTAATCCAAATTCTTGAATTATTTAATGATCTTGCTTCTGGCCAATGCGACATCGTCTTTTGTTGGTTACCAAGCCATGTTGGTATCATTGGTAACACTATGGCCGATGCAGCTGCAAAAGCAGCACTCAACAAATATGTGACACCACTTCTCCTCCCATACATTGATTATAAACATCCGCGATCTAATGCAAAGGAAGTGGGATACCTAAGTAGGTATAAATAAGTTAAATAAAATTAAGCAAAATATCGGTTACATCTACTTGGGTAATTAGTCCAGATTTGATGAGGTCATTATGCGACGATTTCGTATTTGCCATTCAATATATACTCATGAATATATATTGAAAGGTGAGGTTCCTCCATTCTGTATCCCTTGTGATGAAAGAATCACAGTCAAGCACTCACTCACTTCAGGCATTAAATCGTTTCAAGAAGTATGTAAAAAGAGGAATAGATTATAAAGGTAACTGAAGACAGAGCGCATGGTGTCCCTGTGTTTTAGTGAATGAGTTGTGTTTAACGCCGCTTTTAACATTATTCCAGTTATATCACGCCGTATCAGCTTAATGTTGCAGGAAAGCCCGAAGTGATGCAGGTCTCAGACGTTTACCTCTTCGGTGAAACCCACGAGTACGGATATGGTGCTGACAAACCCAGAAATATAATCGGGCGAACCGGGATTCGAACCAAGAATCATAGGTTTCTGGCGTGCCCAAGGGACACAAAACAGCACAGCGAATTGCGGCGCCTTAGACGACTGGGCCAACCATGCCCCCCACCCCTACACTGGTGTTTTAGGCTACTGACTGTTCCATTGATCTCCTAATCTCCTAGCAATTATGTCCGCAGAATACCCACTATCACCAACAGTTGTTAATGTTTGTAACTTCATCTATCCACACTCACCCATTTACTCATAAGGCAGTTTAACACGTGATGATAATGTTTGACTTACGTTTTTTGTTTGTTATTGTTTATGTAACTTCTTTACAGGTTTGAGCTGGCCCAACTGGATGAATAAGTCTCTTCATCAAGGTAAATTCCCCAACAACGTTGACGCTGCGTCAGAGTTTGTGTCACTTATGGTTCAGAATGCCAAGAACTACACAGGCGAACGTATTCCCCACATATTTGAAGTCATCAATGAACCCGATTGGGTGGAGAAGATTATTGACCCACAAACGAATATAGACTTCCATAAGGCCGTCGCCGACAAGCTGAAATCAAGAGTTGGAATAAAAGTTGCCGGACCAACTTTCACAAGTATGGCCTTACGACGAGCAGACGAAAATAACTTCGCCTTCTGGAAGAAAACTGCTAAGTTCCTGGACATGTCTCTTGATCACTTGGACTTTTTCTCTTTCCACTCCTACAACTATCTGCGTGTATCGGGTGGAAGTTACACTTATTTTGGCATCAATGAGGCTCGTCTGTTTGCTTCTATTGACATGGTGGAGAATTACTCTCATCTCAAGAAAGGGAAAGATGTTCAGTTAGTTAACACTGAATTTGGAAGAGGTACCGTGTTCGGAGTTGGCCCCGATGTTGAAAATGGAATGATAGAGTTCGAAACCATTTATCAACCAAACGGCTTCATGTTTACTTTCCTTAACATGAGAGAGTTTATAGACAGAGTTACAGTGTTTTTCCTCTCAAATGAGCAATACCCGGGTCATAGTTCCCTTCGAAATTCCTTATTTACCATCGATGGTCATGTCCTTCAACCAACCAAATTCTTCCTGTTTTGGCAAAACTTTACTATTGATCAAAAGTTTCTCCGGGTGTCAAGTGAATACAGTGGACAGGAGAGAGTAGTTGCACCTCTTGCCCTTGCAAACCCTCACACCAAAGAGATGGTAGTTCTTCTCCACAACTATGGCAGTACATTTGAGAATGTAACACTTGACTTTCCCTACAGTTGGATCAACCCTTCTGAAGGTGAAGAAACATGCGTTCTCTTCGCAAATGGTCAACCAATTCTGAATGTTGATTCCCATTTCAACATGTCTGCGGTTCATGGCACCGTCGGTCTCCCTGGATCCTCAACCTGCTTCTACAAGTTTAAGACCAACTACAACTTTGACGGAATACTCACTGACAACCAGAACACATACTATGGCAAGGACATGGTGATCCCTATCAGCAACGGACATGCACAGACCACAATCAATCTACCCAGCTCTGGCTACAATACATCTAGTCTTAGAGTGGGAGTGAGCCGAGACAAGAAGACCAATGCAGAACCCAATGTAGTTGCGTTCAATGGCCAGACGCTATCTTCAAGCTACATGTTGTTCGATGCTATGAAGAATGGGGGGAAAACAAAATGGAACGTGTGGGAGTTCATGGTCCCAGAATCACAGGTCAAAACAACAAACACCGTCAGCATGACCTTTGATGGAGACGGTGGCGTCGTGACAACCGTTGCACTCGTTGTTGGAAAACTTCAGTAAATAAAAATTTCATTAAGAATTTTGATTCAAATCCATGACGTTCACATGTTATTAGAGGATACGAACAGATAGGCCCTGAGGTACGATACAGACGGAAAGATGTACATGGCTCCAAATCAGTTAGCACCATATCATAAACAAAGTGGTACACTGTTATTCCTACTTGGTTTCTTAAGCTACTGTCGTGACCTCCAATATGTCTTAAACTTCAATTATTACCTTCGTGTCTTTCATTATCGTAAATATCTTACAATACGATTACAAGTATGTATTAATTAAGCTCGCATAATATATTTCTGTGCTCCAAATGTATGACATTTACAATACGAAGCTCCACTCAGCCAAAAATATCGCTAGTGGAAGAAAATATTCTGGAAGGATAGTGGGCGTGAATTGTTTTCATTAGATTTGTATCTTTAAAGGTACAAGGTCGGTTTTAAATCTACAAGAAACTGTAGTGTTTCTGTCTGCAAATAACATTTAGTATTGTTTGGAACAACAATTCTGTTTATCAGTTATGAAGTGTTCATAACCTGCAAAGTTCAAACTCGTTATATTTTATATACCTGTGCACGGAGTAAAACGGAAACAACTCTAACTCTCTTTTTGGATTAATTAGCCTTCAGAAGGTGGAAACGGTCATAACGATAGCAGGCACACACGCTGCTGTTAATTTGACTGAAAACAAACGAAAATTGTGTGCTGTGTCCAATAGCAGTTTGTATGGATTGCTTGTAAAGCCATCTTCTGTTAGCGACTAGCTGTGAGGCATAGGTCATAATTGGCTATTAGTGTGTTTGTTTCGCGATCAAGGAACACAATCCAGGCAAAAATAAAGTTATAATAATTTTTTTAAGGGTATGCTATTTGCGTGAGGGGGCACGGGTGTCCCAGTCGTCTAAGGCGCCGCGATTCGCTGTGCAGAGTTGCGTCCCTTGGGCACGCCAGAAACCTATGATTGTGGGTTCGAATCCCGGTTCGCCCCGATTATGTTTCTAGGTTTGTCAGCACCATACCCGTGCTCGTGGGTTTCACCGAAGTGGTAAACGTCTGAGACCTGCATCACTTCGGGTTTTCCTCCCACATTAAGCTGACACGCCGCGATATAACTGGAATACTGTTAAAAGCGGCGTAAAACCCAACTCACTCACTCACTCACTATTTGCGAGAATTTTCTGTTTGCTTGTTTATTGTTTAACGCCAAACTCAACTCTCAGGCTGCATACAGGCAGCATGTAAATAATCGAGTCTGGACAAGACATTCCAGTAAACAATATTAGGTAACGATCCACGCCGTCAACCCGATCCATTTTCCCATCTCTTACAGCATAGGTCTCTAGAGACCTATTCAAACACGAAACCCTACACAACTAGTGTTCATGCAATGAGTGTGACCCGTTATAGATTCTGTTGCACTGTTCTTTCAAGTAGAAGTGAATTTATGTAGTACATGTTAACTACCTTAACACTAAACGTCATGACGTTTCAAGAATTCACTTAGTTAAGATCCTTCTTGCTACGATAATATTACGACAATCTACGCTCTTAAGTTACGTGCATACCAAAAGCTTTAAAATATTACAACATACCAACAATTGTAGGTGTTAAACAGTGGTTACCTGACAGTTGGAGTGAGTGAGTGATTATTCCGCTTTGTTACAATGGTGATCCTAAATACTAAATACTATACTATCTACTGATGGATAGGGACGTAAAATCGACATTTGTTTGAATTAAAATAATGCATACACGTTGGACATAGTTGATAAATTCTACCCGGGGACATAAACGAAAAGGTGTATACGATATGGTCTTCTAAAGACGACTTTTGTTTACATATGGGAAACGGTTGTGTAGGAATTATACAGAACGTATATAGAGGTTATCACATGGTTAATAGATTACTAAATTCTACCAGGGGACATACACGAAAAGGTGTATTCGATATGGTCTTCTAAAAACGACATTTGTTTACATATGGGAAACGGTTGTGTAGGAATTATACAGAACGTATATAGAGGTTATCACATAGTTGATAGATTACTAAATTTTACCCGGGGACATCAACGAAAAGGTGTATACGATATGGCCTCCTAAAAACGACATTTGTTTACATATGGGAAACGGTTGTGTACGAAATATACAGGACGTATAACTATATATTCCCTCCTACATGCCTTGCCATGTACACCTGACGAAATGTATATTCATCAAGATTTTGAATCATGGTGATGCCTCCGTGTTGAAAGTTGCTATCATCTTCATATATTACCAGAATGTTTGTTATCTGAATCATTGTTACTCCCTTTCTGCACTTCATACGCTTGCAAAACATTCCTTTGAAGTGCGTTTAATAGACCAACTCATATCCACTTAAACTGCCGGGCAGCAGTAAGTATACATTCATGTATGATAGTGGCTGAAATGAAACAAACAATGAAGGAGTATTCGATAGTGACGTCTTTGATACGGGTGTCATGGTTGTGGTTTGTACCTTACAGTTGCACTGTTTCGGTAACTGTGTTCAGCCTAGAAGCGATCTGATAGTCTTTTGTGAACTGTTTGTTTTTCAAATCCAATTTTAAAATGTTATACTTCCTTCTGCTGGGCAAAGATTACACATAAATGGCCAACAAATACAAATAACTTGCTGTTAGCTCCACTGCCTATTTCTGACCTTGAAAGTCTGTTTCACCGCAACCTTCTCTGTTACTGTCACTGTTCGCACCTGTTGAGTTCCACATTATCACATATACTTTAGTTCTTACACTGCGTGTCAACAGGTCACATTTCTTTCAAAAACTGGATCATGTGTATATCATACAGTAAATTTGATGCTGCTTTACACACTAGGCTACCCCACAAAGAACTGGATCATGTGTATGTTATACAGTAATTTTGCACCTGCTTTTGCAACATCACATCCGCTACAAGTCAGTGAGTATGGTCTTACGCTGCTTTCAGCATTATTCAGGCAATATCACGCGTTGGACACCAGAAATGGGTTTGCCCATTTAGGGAATCGATTCCGATTCTTCGGCTTCAAAGGCAAACGCTTTACCCACTAGGCTACCCCATTGACACTACATCCACTTCCTGGTAGGGACGCCAAGAACTGGATCATGCGTATATTGTACAGTAAGTTTGAAGCTGCTTTACCCACTAGACACCAAGATCTGGTTTATCGTTATCTACGTAAGGCCTCATAAAGGACATGAGTCTGCACCAAAAACAAATAGTATTTTACGAGAATTGATTTTACTTTCGATGAAACACAATAAAACAAGCCACCGAGTCTGACCACCCGATATATTCATCTTACTATATACTTAACTTGGTTACTTATATAAGCTGCTAGGGACACCTTACCCAGAATCAACACCTCCACAAATGTGTTTATAGCTCACCAGTGTAAAACTGTGTGACCAGGAACCTGTCTCTTGTGGCTTTTGTTTGACTTTACAACAAGCAGTCAGCTCGTATTTGACGCAAAGCACTATTTCATATTCGATTACTAAGCCCATTTTGAGTATGACACGCATTAGAACACCAATCTGAACCCTCTTTAAAAGTTTCGTTTTCAATCTGAACCACAAAAAAAGACAAAAATAATCTGGAGATACCACAAAGATGTGTGCTTACTATGTATTTAGGATAAACTTTAACAGATTGTATGATAAATATATATGTATATGGAATCATGTAAAAGAAACCTACAACACTCGTGGCTTGCTATTGAACACACATCTCATTAAACTTTTTTGGATATAACACACATTACCTTTGTGTTAGGTCTTTGACTATTGTCGTGAGCCTGCTGAAATTCCTTATCAAGATTACATTAATCCGAAACACTTCAATAACATCGAAAAGTTCAAGCGATATCACAGTTTACTTTTCCATATTTCTTTTGTGCTGTGCTCTTCCCGCCGTTAAGATACGTATCACACCTCTACATACCATATCAACTGAACTGGTGTGCACATGACCTTTGTTTTGTTGTGATTGGTAGAATGCACAAACTGAGGAAAAGGATATATATATATAGTCTGGCCCAGCCAGCTTTCATCCAAAATCTGGCTGCCCAACATGAAAAGTGTGTAGTTGTTTCTACTGCAAAGATCTCAAATAACAAAGTCATAATATGTCAGAATCACTGCATTAATATTGTTTTTATAAGAAAAGCTTGGGAGAACTGTCATTGGAAGTAATTCCACATATAAGGCCAGTATGCTAATTGAGTAGGGAAATCTGTGAAAACCATGCATCGTTACTATCAACTTTTGACCTGACTCTAAAACCTGAGGGCATGTCCATTCCTTTTTGTACCAGAGTCCATAGCTCCATAAATACCTGTACAAACAAGGACATTTTGATGAGTCCAGCAAATGTACCTACGAAATCCATGTGCCACGGATTAACCACAATTCTAAAGAAAATCAAAGCACGAGTTGCTATATATGTACTTATTCTAATTGAGACAGTGGAATCAATAGCATGCATATTTTCAACAACTCAAAGGATTCTTTGTATTTTTGCAATCTCAGAAATGAACTAAGTTCAATCATGCCACATAATTAAATCTGTCAACTTTGTACACCACTTACCTCCACGGCAAACGTGAGGAAAAACCTCAGTCCTTGATCGACGGGGCATTTGTCACTAAACGTGGTGACCATAGATATATTTGCCTCTGTCTTATAAAGTTTATAACAATTTGTTAAAAAAGAAAACAAATGTCGTCTCAAGTTTATTGCAAAAACAATATTTCAAATGTTAGACTTCCAGAAAAAATTGGTATCTGTGAAATTTTGGGATAACACATTTAGACAGGAAGTTGGCATCCCCATGGACACGCATTGTGTTCCTCTTCTTGCTGGCATTTTTCTTTTTTATATTAATCAGAATTTCTGCTAAGATTGGCAAAATCTAAAAAAGAGATTATGGCCAATAAAATGTAGTTAAGTTTCAGTTATATCGAAGATCAAATGTGGTTAAATAATAGCCAGATAGCCAAATCCCTTTTACTGA